TGCCACAGTAAATAGATGAAACCCACTAGCATGAGTAGGAGTTGTTTGAGCCCTGATGTGCCTACTCATTCATGCTTGTTTGTCATGCCTGCTACTGCTTAGAGTTGAGTCAGGTCTGATTCATCGGGGATGAATCAGAGGCGTGTGAACATGTCCTACTGTGTGTGAGCTAAGTGTGTGAACACGATTTGGTAAAGGTAGCGGTGAGAGGCCATGTAGGAGTACATGGTGGGTTGTCTCATTGCAGCCGTCCTTAGGAACTGAGTTCTGTGTTTGTGATCCATGATCAGTTACTACCACACATTGGGCTCCGGGCGCTCCAAGCTCTCTCAACTTATTAATCAACTTGATCTCTGTCCAGGAGTCGCAACTAGTTTCTGGTATTTGTAGGTAGTGTTAGTAGTCTACCAAGTGGCACCCGGTACAGGTGGGCTTGGGACAGACTAGGCACAGTGGCACGGTGTACCAAGTGGCACCCGGATGGTGGGCTTGGGAACCCTGCTCACATCGTTTGGGGCCGTGAGCGACACCCCGTCCGGATCTCCTTGTGGATGGAACCCGAATAGGCGATAAACCTGGACGAGAGACTTGTGTGGTTAGTCAGGTCGTGGCCGACACCCTCGCTGGGCTTCCACTTGAAGGTTGCCGAGTACATGTCGTGTAAACGGCGGTAAGTGGTGAGAGCGTGTGTGAAGAAGTACACCCCTGCAGGGTTAATATGATCTATTCAAATAGCCGTGTCCGCGGAAAAGGACTTCTGGGTTGCCTATAACAGTTCATAGACAAGTGAAAGTGGATACTTTAAAATGCGCAAGATAAGCGTGAGTGCTATGGATGGCGTTCTCGTAGGGAGACGGGAGCGGATCCATAGTGGTGTATTGATATGGTGAATATGTGGACTCGTGTGCGCCACCTCAAAAGAGTTACTTGCAGTCGTAGTTCACGATAGCCACCGAGTCAAAGCTGGCTTGCTGCAGTTAAACCCCACCACCCCGTTGTTGATAATGATGCATATGTAGATAGTTCTGATGTAAGTCTTGCTGGGTACATTTGTACTCACGTTGCTTAATTTATGTTTTTGCAGAGAGACTTCAGTCTCGCTAGTAGTACCGCGTGGACTTCGACGTTTAGCTTGTTACCTCAGCTACGATCTTGTGCCCTCGGCAGGATCTGGTAGATAGTCAGGCTTCTCAGCCTTTTTCATTTCTAGATGTCTGTACTCAGACATGTTAAGCTTCCGCTTGTTCTTGACTTGTTTGCTCTGAATGTTGGGTCGTGAGACCCATGTTTGTAATATCTTGCTCCTCGGAGCCTATTGAATAAATACTTGAGTCGTAGAGTCATGTTGTGATGCCATGTTGTATTTGCACATATCGAGCATATTGTGTGTATGTTATTGAAATGCTTGGTATGTGTGGGATCTGACAACCTAGTTGTTTATCCTTGGTAGCCTCTCTTACCGGGAAATGTCTCCTAGTGTTTCCACTGAGCCATGGTAGCTTGCTACTGCTCTGGAACACTTAGGCTGGCCGACATGTGTCCTTCTTCGTTCCTGTGTCTGTCCCTTCGGGGAAATGTCACGCGATGAATACCGGAGTCCTGTTAGCCCGCTGCAGCCCGGTTCACCGGAGTCCTGCTAGCCCAGTGCTACAGCCTGGATTCACTCGCTGATGACCGACACGTTCGATGCTGGGTCATGGATGCCTGTCCCTGTAAGTTTGTGCCACTTTGGGTTTACGACTAGCCATGTCAGCCCGGGCTCCTTATCATATGGATGCTAGCGACACTATCATATACGTGTGCCAAAAGGCGCAAACAGTCCCGGGCAAAGGTAAGGCAACACCCGTGGGAATACCGTGCGTGAGGCCGCAAAGTGATATGAGGTGTTACATGCTAGATCGATGTGGCATTGAGTCGGGGTCCTGACAAATTCAGCCTTTTTATTTTCTGGGCCTAGGCCATTTCATAGTCCGTTTCATTAAGCCTTTTGTTACCATTTTTTCATAAATGCACAATATTCCAGCCCACTATTTTTTGGGCCATAGCCTTTTTAGAGCCCAAATATTATTCGACCCAATAGAACATTCAATCCTTTTCATTCACAAATTTTAATTTTACACATGTCAACAGCAAACAATCAATAATTCTCTCAATTAAATGATCAAATCCAGAAATCTCTCAATGAAACTCACAACAGCACATACATGTTTGCACGATCCAACAAGTGTACATACAATCAAAAACAAATACACGGGCACCAAAACATGGTGGCAACATCAACTAAAACTATGGTGCACATCTCTAGGCTTCTTCTAATCTTCGGTAAGAGCAGCAGCCACCTCAATGACATTAGATCCTGATCCACATAAATTAGTAGTGAGATACAGTGGAAGTTAAATGATTGACAATAAAATATATCCATTCAAGAGAATAAAAGTTATACATAAATTCACAAATGCTTCAGTTCAGTAAACAATAAGCATGGCATAGCAAAAATTCTAACCTGATGATGTTCTACTAAGATATTCAAGTTCAGAAAACTTATAGCACCAACTGTAAATCACTACAAAGAACATAAAGGTTCTATTTTAACTTCAATTTTATTAAGTACCGGACATCTCAACAAAAGCACTATAATCATACATGACACCTTGTTGTGATGTAACAACATGCTACAACTGACTGCTTCCGGAACAAAGTGTGGATTATATAGAAGAATAGAGATCCGTGTCCCTTGGAAGCACATCAAATGTAAAAAATCTGGACTGGTTAAATAATAATTGTATCCTTCTCTACAAGCACATGAGTATTTAATAAGTACTAATCCTATCATGTATGGCAGGCCTGCAAGATGGAGATGCATACATGACTAAACACTAACATATTATGGTATGACCAGGGTGAGAAAATCAACAACTCGGTCGACCCAACATTGAAATCAGACATGATATCCTAAAATAGCAAGAAACAGGAAAAGTAGGCTCATACATCAGGACCACATCACAACCATGGTCTAGGCTCATACCATAGTATAGCTGGAAAAAAACCCAACTTCAAGGTGCAGGCTCTCCAGCGCCGATCATGACCATCCAGCTGATCATACAGCTTCGTGTGCAAGTCACCTGCACCAAAAAAACACCCAGCCGCCACAGGCCGTTGTTAGTCAGCAGCTAACACAACATAATTAATAGCCAACTAAAGCTTAATACAAGATCTTTTCATAGTTGGCATGCATCAATCTAGGAATCTACAATGTTGGATAAGGTGATAAAGAAAAACATAAATAGTGGAGTTGGAAACATATGCAGCATAATGATAAAACAGAACTATGGATTTATTGTGGCATCCATGCAACACACAAGATATGTGATCCCTCAACCAAAAATATACATAATAATAGTTTCCAAGTACTTGCAGCTAGAGAAAGTATGGAACAGAAGCGACTACATTACTCCTGATTGCTATCTCTAAAGACAAAGTGCACCTACTATATATAGTACTTTAATACAACAAAAGGCTAGCACTAGAAATAACATCTTGCTTGCTCTGGCTATGGAATATTATACTCTGGACAAGAAATACACATCACATTTTCTGGACAGAGAAAGTGACTAGTATCCCAGCACAAGTAACTGCAAACTGACAAAAATGCTCACGGCAGAACTATCAAAGTGTTTTATTAACCTCTAGGTTAAAACAACCACATTTTTATTGTCACTTGTTAGTTGGAAAATCTAGTTATCTCTCCTGTGGAAATATGTACATGTTGGCATTAATTGAAAAAATGGGTATGAACAAGCATGCGCTGCTGCACAATAATGAATGAGAACAATCAGGTACTGGCAGGGGTATATGGCTGCACCATTAGTTAATGCAGGACACTACCAGGAGCGTAAATGCAGTAGCAACCCTTCTGATGTTTGAGAGCACTCTCACTGTGCTATAATTAAATGTATTTTCATTTTCAGCAACACTTATGGAGCACTTAGTTCTAAATAGCAGTCATGAAACTAGGGAGACCCATCTATGTGAGATTTGGCAAACCAGAAACACAGATAGAGCATCAGTCAACTTTAGGTTTACAATGAATTACAAAGGTACTATACACTATAACTGAAACGCATTGCAACATTCAAATTCAAACATACACAGGGAACGTTTGACCCGCTACCTCTAAAGAAAGCATACACTTCAGGCAAGAGATCCTTCCAGCGGATTTGAAGAGCTAAAAACAAGCAAAAAACATGTATAGCGACCTCAGGATTAGGCGGGTGAGAGCTCGCAACATCCATGAATCGCATCAGTTGAGATCTAGAAAAAGAACCAACAGATGGAGGGTAGGCATATACACTGATGAACCATGCATGAAATGAATTCCACACACTCACAAGCAAAACCTATGCAAGGTGAAGCGATCATCATCTCAATAGTGTCAACATACATGCAGTTTCTAAATTACAAATCTCTGTTTTGACCGTCCAATTGTCAAACACGACATGAACATGGCAGGTAGACAACATCATATATGAGATAAACTACTAGAGGATACACACGTACACTGAACAACACCTATCAATGCTCAGAAGTTTCACCTTGATACACAGAGTGGAAAAAGAGGTAAATAACCTCCACAAACACCAACACCTTGAGAAGGAATTATACAAGGAATTGTGCCAAAACATGTATATAATCATGCCTAAAATACATCACATCCACATCGCACACCAAATTAACATAGGAAGCAGGGGAGTAGGTCGATGTACCAATCCATCACCTTGATGGAGTTAGGGGAAGAGAAGAAGCAGAGGAGGGAGGTCCATGGCATCCCTCCCAAGCAGCAGCACAACACATCACGCCTTCATCTCCCATGGTGACGTCCTGGTTAGAAAGAGAGACGAGAAGGGGGTCAGACAGAGAGCGGAAGAAGAAAAGACGAGGGAAGGAGAAAGGGATTCATACCTTTGAGCCCTTCGGTTGGAGCTACTCGTTCGCCATGGCCCATGGCCAGGGGTAGGAATCCCGAGAAGAAGAACGCGGACGGGCGGAGCTGCTCCATGGCGCTGAGGCAGGGGAGGAAGCGGCCATCGTCCATGGCGTCCCGATGCTCGAGCGAGGATGGCATCTTGGATCTGGGAGGAAGAGACGATGAACCGAGGAAGTTAGGAATGGCTATGAGGAGGAGATGGAGTAGATGGATGCACCTGAGTCGTCGGAACCACGCCGATCAAAACCGTAGCGATAGGAGTCGGTCACGGTTGGCGCTGGAGGACGCGCGTGACGGATCTCGACGGGGAACACCAGCCTCCCCAAGCCCCGCCGGTAGAGAGTGCCTGCTCGATCCAGAGGGAGGGAGTGGGGGTGGAGGCGGCGGCGGCGGCGCCTGCTCTATCCAGAGGCAGGGAGGTGGGAAGGAGGGATTATTGCTGGATCTGGCCACGAGATGAGCGAATCGAGTCGATCTGGGCGGAGAGGTAAGGGGCAGCCAACAGTGAGGTTGGGGGAGAGTAGGAGGTCGCCAGTGGGGTTCGCGGGTGAATCCTGCTGCATCCAGCACGGGTCTGGGCGTGGGCTCGATGGTGAGGGTCGTCGGCGGTGGGGGTGGGCGGCGGTGGGGGTGGGCGACGGTGGATTCAGATCAGAATGAGGGAGAGGAGAGAGGGGCGTTAGTGCGTGGGAGAGAAGGGTGCGAGAGGAGGAGTGTGGGACGTGGGTGAGACCGACGACATGTGGGCCATTGGATCCAGCAACATCCGACGGTGATTTATCCACGATCCGCGTGAGAGGCCTCTGGACCAATCAGAACGCAGTATACAAGGTGTGATATTTTGACCATTTAAATTGGTCGTAACTGACTAAAATTAAGGTGATAAATCATGTTAGCTATTTTATTATGACCTACAAAATTAAAAAAAATCACATTGTGTTAGCAAATTTGACTTTAGTTTTCAGGATAATCACAAATTGAAATAAGACAAATATTTTTTAAAGAGTTATGAGAAATGAGTTCTTTTAAATCAGTTTTTCATTTTCGAGTGCCCAAAATGAGTTTTTTTGAAGGACCTACCATATATTTGTTGAAAATTTGGACCAAATCATTTTTATAAAATACTAAGCCATATATAATGCACACTTGACCAAATGGTTGGGTGTCAAAAGTTTCGATCCACCTCTCGTGAAAAAGACAAATTTCCACCGATTCAGTAGGAAGCGGGTAAAATTTGAACTGCAGCTGCCTCATAGTTTGCTCTTTATTTTTTCCAAAAATCATTTCTAGGTACATAAGTATCTATTTAATCATACAAACACAAAAAGTTTTCCAAGATTCAACCACTAGCTAGGAACGGTCAAACCCGCTGTTTTGATCGCATTTCGAAATGGGCATAAAAAGTTCAAAAAAAATTAAAAAATTGTAAAACCTTCACATTGTGTCATCATATGTGACCAAGTTTCCAGGAAAAATAATAAACTTGTAATATGGCAATTATTTTAAAAAAATGTTCTCAGAAATGAGCTATCATGCGTGAAGATTCATGGCCTTGAAGCCAAATGATCAATCTTATGGCTACATTCATGGTATACTTTGTTCAAATGATCTCATATTGCGCACAAGGGTGCATCTTGGAATTCCAAACAATGTTTCCTAAGGGAGTTTTCATTTTCTTTGCACGGAAAATTCATTTTCCATTTTCCGAGTGCCTAAAATGAGTTTTTTGTGAAGGACCTACCATTTATTTGTTGCAAAATTGGACCAAATCAATTTTATAAAATACTAGGCCATATTTAATGCACAATTGACAAAATGGTTGGGTGTCAAAAGTTTTGATCCAGCTCTGGTGAAAAAGACAAATTCCCGCCGATTTAGTAGGAAGCGGGTCAAATTTGAACTGCAGTTGCCCCATAGTTTGCTCTTTAATTTTTCCAAAAATCATTTCTAGGTACATAAGTATCTATTTAATCAGAGAAACGTCAAAAGTTTTCCAAGATTCAACCACTAGCTAGGAACGGTCAAGCCCGCCGTTTTGACCGCATTTTGAAACGGGCATAAAAAAATTGGAAAACCTTCGCATTGTGCCGTCATATGTGACCAATTTTCCAGGAAAAGTAATAAACTTGTAATACGACAATTATTTTAAAAAAGTGTTCCCAGAAATGAGCTATCATGCGTGAAGATTCATGGCTTTCAAGCCAAATGATCAATCTTATGGCCACATTCATGGCATACTTTGTTCAAATGATCTCATATTGTGCACAAGGGTGCATCTTGGAATTCCAAACAATGTTTCCTAAGGGAGTTTTCATTTTATTTGCACGGAAAATTCATTTTCCATTTTCTGAGTGCCCGAAATGAGTTTTTTTGTGAAGGACCTACCATATATTTGTTGCAAAATTGGACCAAATAAATTTTATAAAATACTAGGCCATATTTAATGCACAATTGACAAAATTGTTGGGTGTCAAAAGTTTTAATCCACCTCTGGTGAAAAAGAAAAATTCCCGCCGATTCAGTAGGAAGCGGGTCAAATTTGAACTGCAGCTGCCTCATAGTTTGATCTTTAATTTTTTCAAAAATCATTCTAGGTACATAAGTATCTATTTAATCGGAGAAACTTCAAAAGTTTTCTAAGATTCAACCACTAGCTAGGAACGGTCAAGCCCGCCGTTTTGACCACATTTTGAAATGGGCATAAAAAATTCAAAAAAATCAAAATATTGGAAAACCTTCGCATTGTGCCATCATATGTGACCAATTTTCCAGTAAAAATAATAAAATTATAATACAACAATTATTTTTAAAAGTGTTCTCAGAAATGAGCTATCATGCATGAAGATTCATGGCTTTCAAGCCAAATGATCAATCTTATGGCCACATTCATGGCATACTTTGTTCAAATGATTTCATATTGTGCACAAGGGTGCATCTTGGAATTCCAAACAATATTGCCTAAGGGAGTTTTTATTTTCTTTGCACGAAAAATTCATTTTCCATTTTCTGAGTGCCCGAAATGAGTTTTTTTGTGAAGGACCTACCATATATTTGTTGCAAAATTGGACCAAATCAATTTTCTTAAATACTAGGCCATATTTAATGCACAATTGACAAAATGGTTGGGTGTCAAAAGTTTTGATCCACCTCTGGTGAAAAAGACAAATTCCCGCCGATTCAGTAGGAAGCGGGTCAAATTTGAACTGTAGGTGCCTCATAGTTTGCTCTTTATTTTTTCCAAAAATCATTTCTAGTTACATAAGTACCTATTTAATCATAAATACATGGTTTGGTGGCGATACATCGAGGTTTGGACGGTGGCCGAGGGCCCCAACTCTAGAGCGCGTAAACTCGCATGCCCGCCGCGTGGTCACCGCGTCACCGTGGCGTTGCCATGTGTTCTGGGCGGCCTAGGCATGTCTAGTGGGTTGGCCACTCCCCAGGTAGGTGCTAGGAAGAAAATCACAACATAAGATTCTCACGAGGAGACCGATCGATGCTCGAACATGAATAAGCAGCCAAGTGTTTGATTAACGATACGGGAAATGCACATGGCTAATGGGTGTGAGTTTTGGCCGAGGATGATCAGTTACTAAGAAGACTGTCTTCACAAATTTTCTACTCAAAAGGAGGAGCCTAGGTGGTACTTGCTTTGCAAAGTACCACATTGGACATAAATACGAATGTTGAAGCTGGGCTCAAAATAATGAATGGATTGAGCTGGCATTTGGTGGAGGATGGTTATTTGGGCATAGGAAAGCACTGTAGAAAATGGATACCATTTGGACATGCCAAAGTAGTACTTCCTTCACAAAGTGTTTTTCTGAACAAAATAGGAAAATGAATATTTTTGAATTATTTTTGAACTAGGCAAGGAAGGTTTTGTTACATATTTGACGAAGATATGACCCAAAGAATTTATGAGATCTTTTTGGGAATTTTGGGGATGACATAAATATAGGTTGCTTCACAACCTGGGGCAAAAATTGCCACATGGACATGACACATAGGCAAAACTGATGAGGTGGCGCCTAGTCATAGCAACCCACCACAATTTACAAGGGTATGACCATCTATATTGGTCGTGATCAGCTAGAAATAAGGTAGCGGACCAGTGCTATCTGCTTTATGACCATTTCATGTAAGGAAATTACGACCTTTCTGACCAAAATGGTCGTTATAGTTTAGGGTTTGGAGCCCCCCAAACAACTTTTGACCAATTGGTCTGAAATGGTCATAGATCTATGACCAATTCTTGCAGGGTCACTGACATAAGGTCACTAGTTGACATATTTCTTGTAGTGCTAGGTGGTTCCTCAAGGAAGCAAGGACCAAGGCTCGCGATACGTGAGCCGGATGATGAATCACCAAAGGAAGCTCAAGTGCGGCCATGTGAATGGCCGTCAGAGGAGTTTATGGTCCAGGCATGCATCAAGGATGAATTTAATGCATATATGTGTAATGTTGATCTTGAGGAGTTCATGTCAGATAAGTGCCGACAATACCACTACCTAACTGATTCCTTTGTGAGGAGGTTTAAATTTACATCCTCGCGCAATTCTCACACTGTTTTATTTGATCTTTATGATAAATCATATACCATGGACCTAGAGGATTTTAATACTGCTTGTAAACTCCGGCACTGGGGCAATGTTAGTGAACCTCACAAATCTGAATATAAAGACTTTCTTGCTAGTATCACTGTGGGAGAATCTAGGGAAATCACACAAGCTACCATAGGGAGCATTCATTTCCCTTCCATACATTATTTTGCTCTCTTTATTGGTAGATGCATTAATGGTAGGGATGAGGCTTGTCACATGTGCGTTTCAGATCTTAGTGTCCTCAAAAGTGCGGTATTTGGTGATAAACAATATAACTTAGGGGCCATTGTTGCACGAAGATTGCATCTTAACGTATGAATGGAGATTTTTTTGGCGGAATTTATGCAACTCGTGTAGCTAATTATCTTAATGTGCCTATACATGGAAATGATATAGAGCTACCTCCTGCTTACCTAGATTATAATGCTATGGTTCGCCATCAGTTTCTTGAGAGGAACAAACAATTCCTAGAGTATCGACTAATCTTCGACAGGCAGCGCACTGTCCATGTTGCCCTCCCTGCTCCTACTTTCTTTAACTTTCAAGCAAAAAGGAGATATGTTATAACCAGGGAGGAGGAAAACGAGTACGAGAGGAGGACGGAGGCAGCTCACCTCCAAGATGCAGCTTTACAAGCAGTAGTTGCTGCATCTCAGTACGACCCCAACTACAACTTTGGATATCCACCAGGCCAGCAGTGGCCATAGACCAACTTAGGCCAAAAGCCTAAGCTTGGGGGAGTACATATTTATCACCGACATTACATTCATGTTCACACACTCATGCCAGTTGTCGGTGCTCATACTTTTTCATTGTACTATCCATGCTAGTTTATTTTCTTTTCTAGCATTCTTCC